TGACTGCTGAATTTACAGGGTAATAGCTTTGGTGGTTACAGTCTGATGGTCACTGGAAAAACAAGCTTGTCAACATTGGAGGCAATCTCAATGCAGAGAAATATTGAGATAATATTCTCCAACCAGTGGCAATCCCATATCTCCACAGTCTAGGTGCGCTGTTCATGCCAGGGTGACCAAATCAACCACATTGGCTGACTTGAGACAAATGCTGGGTGACTAATGAGACGCCATCCCACAGCAGTGTGTGCCCAAGCAAGTGGCCACCACAAGGAGGAGGTGGCAAGCTGCTATGGCTGTATATGGTTCTTCCACATACTACTGAGGCCCCTGTTTGTTTAATGAATGATGGGTTAAATTGTCAGTATATGTTGTTTCTGGAGACTTTCATCATCTAATTGAATAAAGGACACCAAACACGAGTCCACAGCAGAATAAAGTGCTTGGAATTGGCAGAGAAGATTTGGCCAATTTGTAATGGTCACAACCCACATACTCAACACTGCTGCTTCACTGATAGGAAGTGGTGACAGCCTGTAGACCAATACTAAACTTTCACTGCAGTGCAAAATTTTACTGGTTTGGAATATTAAATATCCTGTCAGACACTGTAGTGTGGAGTGTGGCTTCATTTTTCTTGTGTGAAAATATGACTCTATAGCATATATTTCCATGAAACTTCTCTCACATAACTTGCTACTTAGTACTTCAAATTTAATTTGAAGTAGTAAGTAAATATATATATATATATATATATAAACATATATTTCCTTTGTTAAATGCATGCCGAAGTGAAATGTAAAGCGTTGTAAAACATAAGGTTTTGCAAAGCTAGGTATGTATGTTTACTGCGTTATGAACAGGAATTATTTTTTAATTTTTCTAGTGGAAACAGCGTCCTCCCCGTGCCTGTCCTTCGGGGCGTTTATCCGCCTCCTCCACCCCCTCTGTAACATGAATGGAGGCTCGGCTCTTCAAATGTGTTGATATGATAAATTTATTCGGCTGCGACAAACCAAACGTCGCCTAAAACAGGGATGCAGCACATTTTCCATGATTTTCTGAGCGGACTTGTGTAGCCTGTGTTCGGTGTTTGACTCTAAACGTCGTGGTGTGTGTCGGTACTCACAGCACTGCAGATAAATAAACCGCAACTTCCAGTGTCTGTCCTGGTTTTTCCGCGTTATTTTGATGGACAGAGTGCTGAGACTGTTGTCAGGGATGGGACAGGGGCTCGTTTGGTTTCTTATCTCCACTGAATCGGTCGCCATCATTTTTACTACCCTATCTCTGTCCCCCCCAATCTCCTCTCTCACTCTCTCTCCTCCTCTCCCTTCCTTCTCTCGCAGCGCGCGAACACGCGTTGTCGTCGGGATGCTGCGCGCGCTCGATGGTCTTTCTTTCTCTTTGGAGCATGATCCACCCAAAGGACGTTTGAGTCAAAGCTAGCTCAAAACAGGTATGGTGAATAATATAATGAGCATTTAAAGAGGAAGCAGCCTGCAAAAGACAGATTTAATGTGATAAAAAGAGGACCAGAAGACGGGAGCACACAGACAGAAGCAGCGCTTTTATACAATATTTTATACAATATTTCAGAAAATACTACTGAGGTATGATGTGGGATGATTCAGTAGATGTAACAAAATTACTTGAAAGAGTGCTCGCATTTAACATGATATTGATAAAGACAAATTGGTAATAAATATTGTGTATGTACAATGGCTAAAAAAGCACTGATGTCCATGTACTGATTTCTATTTGAAGCAGAGATTTATGGGAGAAACAAAAGGGTAGTTTGTGCATATTAGATGGGATGAGGAGCTCAATAATTTTGTTCATTCAGTAATGCTACTCCTCCACATCAAAAGGAACCAGATGAGATTGTTTGGGCATCTGGCTTAGGCTACGTCCACACTTACATGTGTATCTTGGGACATAACGTAGCTTTTTCTATGCATCTTATTGGCCTTTTGTCTATATGGAGATGAACAAACTGAGCCTTCGGAAAAGCCCTGTTAGGGTGAAGATTTGCAGAAAAGGAAAACAGAGGTTTTGTCTTGTAAGGTGGGCATCTTTATCAAATTTTCATCACATCAGAATGTGCTCTATGTTATTGTTTGTGAGCTTTTGATTGGCCAGCATTTCTTCCTGGTGTTGTAACAACTCCTGTTGCTTTAGCATGCTCTTGACAGGAACACGCTACACCTTTTCATCTTTGCGTAGAAAGATCTGCACTGCAGCATGATAATCAGCCAAGTACACATTAGAGCTCTCTCTTACACGAAGCAGAAGAACTGCTGACTGTCATGGACGTTCACCCAAAAGTTGTCTGACCTCAACCACACCCAACATTTGTGGCTGCTTGAAGACTAAAAACTCCCTTACAGCACAAGCTGTTTACAGCATTGGAGCATCATGCTGAAATAAATGAGTTGTAGGTCAACTCCATATAACTCAACATGGAGTAAAGCTAAGGATGGAAAGCATGTCTGTGTAAGTGCTGTCATCCAGATTCCGTTGCCTTAATAGCTTGAACAAAGAAGGTACATGGACTTATTTAAGTTTGTAAACAAGTTTCATCTCTCAGGCTTCTGAGTTCTGAGAGCTCTGACAGTGGAAAGCCAAATACCAATATAACAATAAAAGCTTATGAAATCCATGTACATTAATAATAATAACAACAACACCCATAACCCAGCTTCTCCTAACCTGAACCTATCAGAAGCAAGGGGAACCTTGAAAGTGAGTGTTGTGTTGGTAAAGTTAGGAATTCATATCAGTGTACCCTATGCACATAAAAAAGTTAAAACTCTGTTTCACAGGTGACACTGAGCTGGGTGGATGTGAGCAGGCACCCAAAATGTTAAAATCTGTTTTTGCCCACTCTCCAGTAACACCTCCACCCTCCAGCTCTTCAGAGAGTATACCAAAGCATTGCTGAGAGACATAATCTCTCTTTAACATATCCTGTGTTTGCCCCAGGGCCTGCTGCCAGTTGGACATGCCCCAAACACACATATTAGGTGTCAAGGAGGCATAATGACCAACTCAACTGACTTCTTGCAATGCGGAGGAATAGCAACTCTACTCTGAACCCTTTCTGAATGATTAAACTCCTCACTATGTCTTGGAGCTCCTCTTCACTACCTATAGCTTGTGGCCATAGGTCAGGCTAGGAATACAGATTGATTGGTGAACTGACAGCTTTATTTTCACACTCATTTTGCAGGCAAATAATAGTTGACAAAAAAGTGTATTGACCTTCAAGTGTTTCTTTTCATTTATTCAGTTTATTCCTTATCCAACCATATTACTTTCCCTAATTTAGTTGGCTTTCATCTTAATAATCACTCTTAATAATAGAGCTACATTTTTGGTTGTATTTTAACCATTTAGCCATATTCTAAACAAGCACATATTCCTACATGTATTTCAGAATTGCAGTTCTACTTTCATAAGTTTTCCAGTGTGAGTATTTTTTTATAGGTGACAGTTTCATGAACAGAGATAACCTAATCTTATCCCTATTGTCACCCTAATTTGGAATTAAAGTGACTAACTTAGCTACAACTCTAACATTATTCCAGATGTTGAAAACATAATGGCACATGTAAGTTTACAGTTGCAGAAATGAAGGCAGGAGTTTAAAACAGTTTTTATTGCATTGAAAATTCAACAAGACTTTACATAGTGAAGAGGACAAAAAAATCCATGCCAACAACCTGCATAAGCGGGTTAGTGTTAATATGTCATGCATAAGAAACCAGGTCATTTTAAATATACAATTAAGAAAAACAATAACAACACAGTGTGATTAATAATTGCAGAATGCAAATGTTGAGAATTAGAAAACAGAACATTCAGATTTTGTGCAAATTCCACAATACAGCAGTTTCCAGTATTGTCTAATTTTATTAAAAATATATATTTCACATTGCATATCGGTTTAGCCTAACTGTCCAAAATTTCAAATAAATACTGTACACAGTAGACAGCTCACAGTTCAGCCAGGTCAAGTATTTTTAAACCTGTGGGTTGAGACCTCTTAAGAGGTAGGGTGAATCTGTGTTTGTGCAATTATGCAATTTGTACTGCAATAATCATGTTTACGTGATATTTTATCCTCGTACCCTTATTATCTTGTCATGCCTGTAACCTTTTCATTAAAAAAAAAAAGAGTTGGTGAACCTCTGGTCGTTTATGTACAATATATTAACAGCCAATAGCAATAGCCAAAAACAATAATCCATGTACAAAATTGTGAAGTAATGATGACACTCTGCATGGCTCATGCAATTACTGTATAAACCAAAACTAAAAAAGATGAAAGCATATGCTGTGAAGCAGACTGACCATACTGTAACCCATCAGACCAAATAGAATCAAAATGACCTTTTAGTTTGTCAAAATTGGATTAACTGTATGTGGTAGATAATTAGGTAATTTACAGTGTAATTAAATAATGTATAGTATCACTCAATAATATCGGTGTCGGTCGTGCATAGAGCTCAGTGACAATGTTTGAATAGCTTTTAAGGTGAGACCTACTTTCTGTCCATCTAGGACTGTAGTCTGCTTACTGTATGTTAAGTCTGTGACACAGTGACAGGATCAGTATGTCTCACACATGGACAATACACAACAGACAATACATTTACTTTACAAAGTATACAAAGACTAATCAAACAACAACGCAACGCTTTAAAAAAAGGGAAGATACGTCTTTTAAATATTCAAAATAAAGACCTGAACCGGAGCAGGCATAACATGCTTATTGTATTGGTAGCCCACTGATGTGCCTGGTTTGTATGTAATGCACAGCATGCATGATAGTTTAAAACCTTTAGCCATTTGTATTGACTGAATTTCTGATTAATTACATGACATATGTATTGTCATATCTGTTAACTAGCTAAAACAGCAAGCTAGTTAAAAAACAAAAATCTTAGTAACAACAATCAGTTTTCAAAAGTTGGATTTAACAAAATTCAACAGATGTTACAGTTACAGCTGTTGGTCCAGTCTGTTTACCACAAGCAGCCAATCCATAATCTATAGCTAAGCTAGCTACAGGCTGAATGGGTTTTCTGTGTTTACTTTCAAACAATTACATTACCACTAAAACTTGTTTTGCATATAATCAAAATGCAGTGTAATGCTACTCCAATAAACAATCGTGATAATCAGATATATTAATGCCACATCAGTAACTTATTGATGAGATACCACGGTCAGTCAATTAAAGTTTTTGGTATGCCATTTAAATAAATTAAAGCATTTTCTCCTCTGATAAAAGGCACGTTATTTAAAGCATTCGACATTTACATATTTTGATCCCTGAAGAGTTTTTTTGTTCTTATCAAATCAGTATTGCATTTCTGCTTATTTACAAACTGGATAGTAACATATGTAGAAATGATCAGTTTAGCTTACAAAAATTTTGCGTATCAAATATTTTCTAGAAATTGAGAGGAAATAATAAAAAAAAGCACGATATTTGAAAGGTTGAAATTCAACTATTTGAGTACATCGCAATTAATGCAAAAACACTAAAACACATGAGAGAGCAGACAGATTATCTGGGGAAGAAAAACAATTGTAGTCAACGCTGTTGGTATCTCTCCAGATGCTTAATTATTTCTCAGAACATTTTATAAGTGTGTAATCTCTACAAATCTCCAATTTAATAAGAAATTACAAGATGTAAACTCTAAGCCCATCCATTACCCTCCCACCCCTTAATTATGCTACAAAAGTCTATCACATTCAAACTAATATAAATAAGTCAAGATAAGAAATATTACGTATAAAATTGTTATCTTTTTTCCCATTGCTATAATCACAGACACCACTATTACAAACATCATGCCTAACTACAAAAAACCTGAAACCAGTTATTTTTCTATTATTTATATCTCATGATTCTTGTTATTTCAAGGATTATTGAGCTGTTGATCTGTCATTCAGAGCTTTAGATTGGTTCCAGCTTAAAAACCACAAACCAGGATATACTATTGCTCTTGCTCACAACAATCCTCTACTTGTTTCCCAAACAATTTCACGATATTAATTAAAAACGCTAATGAAAAAAGAGATTTATTGCTCAGCTCTCCATCCATGCATGCGCAGGCTGTTAAAAAGAGCACATCAGCCTTAGACTCAGAAGTGTCTTGTCGTGAGAGCAAACTGATGCAGAATGAGAGAGATTGCTTGATTGTGATAATAATTAGTGAGAGAATGTGTGAAGAATAAAGAGACAGAGGACTGTTGTCACTTAGAACACTAGGAGTTTGCAGTATGTTGTGCACACACTGAGAAAATGGGATAAATGACAAATGGAGATAGAAAGCAACTGTCAAACAGGGCATAATGGTTGTAAACATTCATCCAGCTGCCATTACAGTGTGTGCTGCTGCTCATTCTGCTTTAAACTAAAAGAATGTATGCTAAAATATTTCACTTATTTTCCAATATATTTACCTGATGTAGACACTGAGATTGTCAGCAATACTACACTGGACTGGTTTTCTGAGTAGCCAAACAGGATATCTGATTCAGCTGATTAAAAATGCCTTTTACACTAACGTTGACTGTGTTAGTCTATTGATTGCCCCTCTTCTAATCTTGCATTTCTCTTACTTGTCTTTCTCATATGGCATTTGCATGACACAGCCAGTCCTAGCTTTAAGCCATCATTCATACTTCAAAATAAGGATTACACAACTGCTTCTTTTCACCTGACACTGAGGAGCTATATTGGTTTTATCAGCAGGAGAAATTAATGGCATCTATGAAGACATATTTAAAACAGCTACCTTTAAGATCCTTTTTGTTGACTATGCTACAACATGAAAATTGTAGAATAGCTGATTTTATTTGTGTTATTGTGTCAAGTTGAGTTGTGTTGATACGCTTCATCAAATGCAGCAGACCTTACAGTAGCATGCCATTGCTTACAGTGACAGCAAAACGGTGATTGTTGGGTAGGCTGATACTAGAATGGCTTTTTGCTACACGAAACCACACAGAGAGCTGAGTTTTAAGAATATTTCAATTTGCATCTAACTTTGCTAATGCTAATGTTGCATTCCCCTGCCCAAAAGCAAAAACTTTATTCATAAACTGTTTGCATCCTGAGGCAAAATCTATATTACATTCAATTAATTATTATTAATTCTTAGAATATTTTTTAATAAAACAGAAAAAGGCCTCTGGATTAGCTAAGAAATATTAGCTGCTTTTTAATTAACTAAGCAAACTAGCCATTTGGTTGGGCAGCTAGTATTTGGTTTGACACCAAATGAAAAATTGGATTTGGAACATTTTAGGGAGCAGCTTTCCCAAATTTTGTTGTCCCAGCAATTGTGCTCGCAGTGCGTGCAAAGTTAACTGTTTTCTAGTATAAACAAGATTTCAAGGTTGTCAAAGTTACCCTGACCCAAACCATTTTTGCACACTGGCTTTACAACAGCTTTTAGTAATGTGTCTACAGCTCGTAATCCTGTGCAGAGATTTGCTCCTGATGAAAACTTTTCAGGCACAAATCACATACCTGGTGTAAAGTACTAAGAAAGTACTAATGCGGTTTATTACGTTCACTGGAAGAGAATTTATTGCAATTTAAATAACCTCACTGTCTAAGCATCATATGCGTGTATAAGCCCTATTGTGTGTCAAATTTGTTTCAATACATTCATCAATCAAGTCTCTGAAATGTCTCTCTACAATATGAACTGCATATCGCTGTCATTCGTTTGACACTAATTACTGGAGAGGTGTGGAAGTGAACACATTTAGACTGGTGATACTATGGAATGGCAGCTCCAATGTCTTTGAGCATTGTTTTTTCAATAGGTGGATTTCCTATGACCTTAAACCTTTTTCAGGACTATAGTATGATGGGTAAGATTGGTTAGAAGATCAGTTGTCTTCTGCTATTTGCATTGAATTAAACTTAATTAATTTAATATGTGCCAGTTACGTCTGTTTCAGCAAAAATCCTCATTCACTTGAATAATTTTCAAACAAGTCCAAACCAAAGCACACAAGCCTCTCAGCTGACTGGATGGCCCTGAGGATGAGAGACAGAGACTGGTTTGTGGCGCTGTGGAAAAGTACTTCTTTGTTTGCGGAGTTGTGTTTGATTGTTTTGCTGGGGATGTTGCAAGGCAGGACAGCTTCCCGAGGGAACTTCAAGATGGAAAACTGAGGAGTCTTTCCTGGAAGGCTGTATAACAGATTCCTGTTGAAGGACATAAAGAGAAGAGAGTGTCACTAAATACCTCAGGCATGTTTTAAAATGTATATATCTAACATCCATACTAATTTGTTTTAGGACCCCCAGGCCTACCCAGTCTAAAGCTCAGTGGTAGGCAATAACTTTGGGAACTTTGGTGCACACAACCATATTCACTGAGTCAAATCAGTCACTTCTTTTTCACCGATTCGGGAAGACAACAGAAACATCAACATTCACCATCAGTGGTTAATTAAACATGAATAAAAAGTTACAGGGGTTGCTGAGCTCATTCTCTATAGAGGAGCAGCTGTTGTGCATTTATGCATTTAACATGAAAACGTGTGCATGAATAGTCATGTGATATCTTCAGGTGTTTCGTGGAGAATACGTCTGAAATGCTGCTATGTGCACCTTTAGTTTATCTGAAGTTACATCTAAGTTCATAATAGCAGAATGTAGCACGACTGTTCAATTAAATAATGATTTCATTCATCCAGTATGGCAGTTTTATTTGTGAAGCACATTTCATATTTGTATTTTTCAAAATGCAAAAAGAAATAATAATAATAAAAGCAACAGCCGTCAAAACAATAACCTTTTTACAATAAATTAAAAACTGAAAAAGACAGGCAGTAAAGAGGCGTTCTGTGAGTTAGTCTTTCAAGTAATTCCGGTTTAGTTAAAGGCATAAAATCTTTTTAACATGGATATAAATTTGGTAAAATTGGGAGCAAGGCCATTAAAACTCCAAATGCTAGTTACATACATAATGTAATGTTCTATTAATTCTAGATGACTGCCAGATGTACTGGATTTTTAACATCTGTGTTGAACAGTAACAATGAAATGGAGCACTCATTGTGCTGACAGCTCATATTTTTTTCATATATTTTCATAAGTCTTTATAGGGACACACAGAGTAGGCATAACAACATAATGTTGTTTTATACTTGGCACAGGGTTTTTGTTTGATTTGTTGGGAAAGATGAAAGAGATTCCCTGGGAACAGAAAAGCTCATTGCCATCAACACCACAGAGCGCTACCTCATGTGATATCATGGATCTGTGTATAACAAGATGGCACTTTAGGCCATATTGCATGTCATGTTTTTGCATTTTTTGCGAGAAGTCACGACAATAACAGAATTATCAAACGTTTTGTCAAATGAAATTCATTAGCGCACTATAAAACACAAACCTACTGTCCTTAAACAATTGCATTCTGTATCTCTTTGTGGTTTCGTCACATTTGCTACTCGCTGCCACACACCTAAAGCAAAGCATGTATATAAATAGAGATGAGCCTTTGAGGGTAGCAGAATACTCATTTGTAGGTCAGAAAGGCAGTGACTGCGGAGTGTTGCGCTCCTCGGGGCTCAAGTACATTGATTTCTCTTAAAGTGGCTGAACTGCCAGTCTCAAAAAGTAAATGGAGTGATTCTTCATGTGTTAAGACACAGGTCGTGGGCTGCAGGGTGTGAAGGAGCATTGACCTTCAGTACACA